AAAAAAAAAAAAAAAGAATTTCAAAAGTTGGGGGGGGGGGGCACCTGCCCTCGGACCCCCCTTGAGTCTGCCCCTATATGTACCCATAGCACAACTCTTGAGCTGTCTTCTTCACATGTACACTCATGAATGTGGTGGGTGTGGGGGTGGGGTGGTGTGAGGGGGTATTCTCAACTTTCTGTGTTTTTGCTGAACCCCTGTAATATAAACGACAGTTTTAAGAGATGATTCACATGAATTAGCAAACTCTTTGAACAAAATATTCTCGAATCTTTATAAATTACTTACATGCATTATTCCATACTGTACCAATAACTTCAAAATGCTGCCTTCATTTTCTTCTGATAATTTTTCTGTTAGTAGCCTATGCAAAGCCCTAATGATTTTAGCTTTGCTTCTTTATTTGATCTTCAATTCCATTTCCAATCAATATCCCAACTGTCCATCTACTGATTTCTTTCCTCTCCCCAAGAAAAGGGCATTTCCCACGAAAGAATCTTCAAAAGCAAATTCTATTGACTCTCCAACTAATATTAGCCACCTTGTTTTTGTACTTCATGGTTCAGAACGAGCATGGCATCACAGAAAGGCATATATCGAATCATGGTGGCGACCAAACGTGACGCGGGGCTATGTATATTTAGATAAAGCTCCAACGGGAGACCTCGTCCCTTGGTCGAAAAATTCTCCACCTTATAAGGTCTCTGAGGACCTTACGAAGCTCCTTCGAGAAACTCGGCCTCGTACTCCAGTCATCATTCGAATGGTGCATGGAATAATGGAGGTGTTTAGACAGGAAAATGGAAACCTCAGATGGCTAGTAATGGGAGACGATGATTCCATATTTTTTCTTGATAATATTGTTGATGTTCTTGCAAAGTTAGATCATACAAAATATTACTACTTAGGTGGGCAGTCTGAGTTTATTTTGTCGAATTATTGGTACTCATTTAGCCAAGGTTTTGGTGGAGGTGGATTCATGTTGAGTGCCCCTTTGGCAAAGGCACTGGCTAAAGACACTGAAAATTGTCTCAAGAGACATTCCCATTTGAAATCTGCTGATCAAATCACAATGGCCTGCATTGCTGATATTGGGGTCAACTTGTCACCCCACAAAGGACTACACCAGGTAATGCATCTTCCTACCTTGTTTATTTATTTATTTTTATTTTTTTTGTCTAAGGCTAAATTGAAATAACGAAACGTGTACAAATAATTAAGTGAGATAGTTTAATATAATATCAAAACAAGCAAAGTCAAGTTTCGTCGCCACATAGTTATGAAATATGACAAAACTTTTGGTAGATTTTGATAAAACTTAATGAAATGTAAGGTTGAAAAGTTAATAAAAATTGTGGATTTTATATAATGTGCAGTAAAAATTGAACTTTAGCTTATTAAATTGAATAAATTTTTGACAAAATTTTACCCAACAGTCAAATTAGATGGTTGTCATATATCAAATACTTCTCAATTAACAAACTTGTGAGAGTAAACAAGTATTAGCCAATAGTGCCCAATTTTACTTGTGCGCACCATATGCACAAGAGTACAATAAAATGTAAATGTAATTGTTTGAAGGCTTGTTAGATTTTTTAATGTAGAATATAACTTGCACGTCAATTAAGTGGAAAAATAATCTGAATAATTAGTAATTACTATATTTTTGCAGATTGATTTGCGGGGTGATATATCTGGTTTCTTGTCGTCTCACCCAAAATCCCCTATACTGTCAGTTCACCATTTTGACATGGTGGAACCAATATTTCCCTCCAAGGACCGCTTTGAATCCACGCGCCACCTTTTGAGGGCGGCGAACGTCGACCAATCTCGAATGATGCAGCAAACTATATGCTATCACAGGCAAATAAACTGGACTTTTTCGATTTCTTGGGGCTATTCTGTACATATATACGAGAGAATTATGCCTCGGAGTTATATACAGAATCCTATAGAAACATTTAAAAAATGGATAGAGAAACAACGCCCTCCATATTATATGTTCAATACAAGGCTGCCCTCCAATGATCCATGTGAAGCTCCTCATGTTTTCTTCTTCGAATCGATAGAAAAAACACCGCGGAATGAGATATTTACGAGTTATTCGCGTGCATCACGACGAGGTTTTCCTGCTTGTTCATCGAATGGCAACCATACTGCAGAGTTTATCTCGAAAATCGGAGTCATCTCTCCGGCAACAAAGCGCAAAGAGGTAACTAAATACCAATTGCCTTCTCGATAAATTTCAAAATAAAATATTTGAGAAAATGTGAAAAATTTAGGGCTATTCTCTCTGTTTTCAGGTCATTTTCAATTTTCGAAAATACTGAAAATACGTTTACTTACCTATTTTCAAAAACAAATTTCCAAAAACGAGTTTAAAATTTACAAAGAAAACGGAAAACGCTAAAAAAGTCGTTTTGACTGTTTTTAGTTAAAATCAAGTCAAAACTTCATTTCTTTATTTTTGAAAACAATTTTCAAAATGACAAAAAGAACGTGTTTTTAAAAATATCAAAATGGACACCTATAACACAAAATCCAAAATGAATTCAAAACTGAAAACCGAAATTTTGTGTTCTGAATTTGAATTCATTTTGAGTTTTGTGTTTTGAATGTCAATTTTGAGATTGTTAAAAATATGTTCTTTTTTACATTTTGAAAATATCCAAAACGCGTTTTGAAAATTGACTTGATTATAATTGAAAACACCCAAAACGACAAATTTGTCGTTTTGGATTTTCTTTGTAAAATTTTAATTTGTTTTCAAAAACGCGTTTTCTATATTTTTGAAAGAGAACGCGTTTTCATTATTTTGGAAAATTGAAAATAGAAAACGGTTTGAAAATGATACAGACAGCGTACCCTTAATATCTAATGTTGCGTTTTTCTCTTTCAGATGGATAGATGTGAATGTTGTGACATTGTTCACTTGGATGGCACAAAGGTAGAGGTCAAATTTAGAGAGTGCATGATGAACGAGATTATAGCCTAAATAAATAGTAACATAAATTTTTGTCGACAGTACCTTTAAAATATTATATCTGAAATCTTAATTTTCTGATTACTTTCATATTTAAAGATGTATAATCAAGGAAGAAAAATACCACAAAATTTATCAATTATTCGATCTTGTCTCTAACGTACAAAACGTAGTGACCGTAGTCACGAAATACAAATATTGGTATACACCTTTTGGGACCCACCATTCACAAACAAAACATAAATATCAGAAACCGCTGATCACAAGAAAACAAACAGGGACTAGAGTTTACCAGAATCGTGCTTTATAGCATGTTCTCTAGGAGAAAATCCCATTATGTTTTTTCACGAGGAATATCATTGTGATGCCCGAAATCACATGAAAGGGGCTTTCACATAAAGCTCAGACAATATGAGAGTGGCAGTCTACGTGAAATAATATACTAGAAAGTCTTATGAATTGTGCGCAACACCTTCTATATCTCCTTAATGATCCATGTGAAGCTCCTCATGTTTTCTTCTTCGAATCGATAGAAAAAACACCGCGGAATGAGATATTTACGAGTTATTCTCGTGCATCACAACGAGGTTTTCCTGCTTGTTCACCGAATGGCAACCATACTGCAGAGTTTATCTCGAAAATCGGAGTCATCTCTCCAGCAACAAAGCGCAAAGAGGTAACTAAACACCAATTGCCTTTTCGATAAATTTGAAAATAAAATATTTGAGAAAATGTGAAAAATTTAGGGCTATTCTCCTTACTGTTTTTGGGCCATTTTCAATTTTCGAACATACTGAAAACACGTTTACTTAACTATTTTCAGAAACAAATTTTCAAAAACGAGTTTAAAATTTACAAAGAAAACGGAAAACGCTAAAAAAGTCGTTTTGACTGGTTTTAGTTAAAATCAAGCCAAAACTTCATTTCTTTATTTTTGAAAACAATTTTCAAAATGACAAAAAGAACGTCTTTTTAAAAATATCAAAATGGACACCTATAACACAAAATCCAAAATGAATTCAAAACTGAAAACCGAAATTGTGTTCTGAATTTGAATTCATTTTGAATTTTGTGTTTTGAATGTCAATTTTGAGATTGTTAAAAATGTGTTCTTTTTTACATTTTGAAAATATCCAAAACGCGTTTTGAAAATTTTGACTTGATTATAATTGAAAACACCCAAAACGACAAATTTGTCGTTTTTTATTTTCTTTGTAAAATTTTAATTTGTTTTCAAAAACTCGTTTTCTATATTTTTTAAAGAGAACGCGTTTTCATTGTTTTGGAAAATTGAAAACAGAAAACGGTTTGAAAATGATACAGAAAACGTACCCTTAATATCTAATGTTGCGTTTTTCTCTTTCAGATGGATAGATGTGAATGTTGTGACGTTGTTCACTTGGATGGCACAAAGGTAGAGGTCAAATTTAGAGAGTGCATGATGAACGAGATTATAGCCTAAATAAATAGTAACATAAATTTTTCTCGACAGTACCTTTAAAATATTATATCTGAAATCTTAATTTTCTGATTACTTTCATATTTAAAGATGTATAATCAAGGAAGAAAAATACGTGACAAAATTTATCAATTATTCGATCTTGTCTCTAACGTACAAAACGTAGTGACCGTAGTCACGAAATACAAATATTGGTATACACCTTTTGGGACCCACCATTCACAAACAAAACATAAATATCAGACACCGCTGATCACAAGAAAACAAACAGGGACTAGAGTTTACCAGAATCGTGCTTTATAGCATGTTCTCTAGGAGAAAATCCCATTATGTTTTTTCACGAGGAATATCATTGTGATGCCCAAAATCACATGAAAGGGGCTTTCACATAAAGCTCAGACAATATGAGAGTGGCAGTCTACGTTAAATAATATACTAGAAAGTCTTATGAATCGTGCGCAACACCTTCTATATCTCCTGTAGTTCGTCCATCCTTGACGGGAATAGTTCATTTGAGTCAATATTAAAGCATTACCAACGACTTATGATATGAGTGTGCACAAGTGTGATACATTTATCGGCTCAAGAAGAGAATGAATGCTTCTCGTTGAGTCGAGGGAAGTCAATATACAATTTCTGTAGGTATACATTTTGTACATTCATTCAGGTGTATTGCAGAGCTGTGTACTGGTTCTTCTGAGAAACCAAGTATATCCATTTAGAAAATAAAATCTCCAGGCTACAAAGAAGATATGATAAAATCAAAGCAAACCAACTGTTTCACCATTATTAATTTCAACACACGGACCATGTAAATATTTGAAATCCCTAAATAGCTGTATAATTTCGATAAACTTGATTAATCCCAAGTAAACCACTTCTATAAGATGTCGACTATTGGGAAAACTCACATTTACTTCACGGACCTCAGCATGAAGCAGAAGTTTTCACTTCTGATTCTACATCATGAGCTTTTTGAATTCCTATCCAACGAGCATAATCAACCCACCTGCAAAACGTTTAAAGAGTTTATAAAATCTTGCAATAATGACACAATAAATAAGAGAAGTGCATAGGGAAAAGTCGAAAAATCTCACAGTAAGGAACCCAAGAATGTGTTGCCAGTTCGCACGGCAAAGCAAATTGCACTCAAGAATAACTTGTGTCTATGCAGCAAAGGCTCTAACATCCTTTGTTCAATCACACCAGCCAAAACCTGATATCTGTTGGATATGGGGAAAATATAAACAGAAATTAGGTATCAAAGATGGCTTTCTTTTACATAAATGCAAATATAATCCAAGGAGATCACTTCAAACTCCCTGCATCGTGTATTTGGATGCTCAAAGGTTTGCATACACACAACTAAACATTAGACTTGCCAAGATGCACCAAAATATTACAGCATGGATATTCCAGAAATTGTTGATGAAATTCTAAATGTTTCATAAAGATTGGGAGATAGTTGTTTGCATATTTTGGCAAACTTTAAGAGTGATCATCAATCCCCAAAGGGAAGGTCAAGCTCACTCCAACAGTCAAGTCAGAACCAATTGAAAACACGTGAGAGAAATGAGTGACATGATGTAGGTGTTTCTTTTGATGGATTTTTTTATATGAAATGCGTAATTTTTTTTATTATCCTCTTGAACCTGTCCTTTTTCAAGAGAGAAAAAATTCACAGGCCCTTAACTAACGTGATCAACATGCCATGAAGTTGGGGAAATCTTTGCCATTCCATGCTAGATTGTGTCTCCCTGCTGCACGATTAGTCAACAAGAGTCGACTATAGTAACTTCCAAGCAGGTTTGCATGCTGCTCGGAAATGGATCACAAGATAGGCAAGACGTAGAATAAGCAGAAAATGTAAAACCCAATAATACATGTTTAATTATAGGAAAAAGATGCCACAAAAAATGTAATGTTCGTCTTACACACATACCGAAGGTTGCTGGATACTGCCATATACACACCGTATGCAACACTTGTTGACAAAACAGGAACATTCTCCACTTCATCTCCAGCAGAGTGGTCGACAGCCTTACGAGTATTTATCAATGTATTTGTCACGACTGTGCCAACCTAGACGTGAATGAATGAATAAATGTCATGTTCCTTATATCTGACTCCATAGTTTATCTGGATTATAAATATTACATGGAGTGGACAAAATCAGTAATCATGTGAAAATATAAAAAAATATANTGAACTTGGCTAACAGATTACGGAACTTAACAATTTGAAGTGAAAAGGTAGCAATATAAATAATTTATTCAAGATGTGAAGAAATGCCCAACCCATAATCCATACAGATCCCTAAAATATGAAATTACCAGGGATGAAGTGGTGCCAACAGCAAACAGCTTAGTTCCATTACGCTGCAAAAAAGCCATGGCAATAGTACATTCTATTCAATCTTTCATCCTGCAAGTATTTCAAACGCAAACTGAGAGAAAAATCCTTACCACTATAGCACCTATTCTCTGTAACAATGAATATGAAGTTCCGCGCAAAGCAACCTACGTATGAGATTCACAGCAAGATTTGATCTTTTAGTACACATATCATTAAGATGAAATCATGAAGGTTAATCAGATAAATGAAATTGGTTACCTGGAATGCATTGTCTGGACAGCTGTATAAGAACTTAGCAAGGCGCCCAGCATTGACTGCAATAGGCGGTCGGAGAGAAACAGTAGGAGCAGGAAGGTAGACAAGCATAAAATCTGCAATTATGGCCATCACCTGAGAAGAAGACAAACTAAAAATAAAAATACAAAACAAAATGTAAATATATGTGCTAGTAATTTAACTGTTTTGGACCCCAAAACAAAAACTTGTTTGCAAATGGTTTCTTGACTATGTTGGGGTAGATTTTTCTGGTACATTGAGTATACCTCTTGCATAATTTTTTTCTTTTCATTTAACAAAATTTTGACTTAAGGAAAAACAAAAAATATCTAGCCTCCATTTTTCAATGTTTATAAATGGTCAATATACCCACAAGTAATATCCACTTATTTACCACGCATATGTATCTACTTATAAATTAAACCGTTCATAAATTCTTTCCAAAGAGAGGCTTAAACTGATCCCTCAAAATTTCTAAACCATCAATGGTCATGCAAATTGACAGTAGAAACAATCACCTCCTACAATTGAGGATGAACAACTTTGAGAAACAGGACAGGGCAAGAACATTTACTATCCAACTCGGCAGGAAATCTGAGTCTCATCTTGGTGATAATGTTTCAAGGCTTTGGAGAAAGGGAGGGGAGAGACCATAGAAAGTAATTAAGCCTTTGGACCAACAAACACCATAAGGTACACCTAACATGAGGTAAAACTTTCAAGGACTATTTTATATCAGAAGAGTCATCCTTCATAAAGGAGCCACTGAGTCCAAAAAACCAACATCAAGTCGAAAGCTGAGAAAGACAAGAAGTTATAATTTAGCGATAAGAAGCTATCATACCACATCAGCAAAAACAATTTCCAGCTCATTGAAAAAGTTTTCCTTCCGGCGCGAATATTCTGCAGCAGTCTGAATATAACCATAAATTAATAATTGACTTATGAAAGGCAGGGGCTTTGAAGGAAAAAAAAATGAGGCAGAACTAAACATACAAATGGAGAAGTTTTATACTTTTTAACTTTTAGGTCTATCACAAGAGGCCAAATGTTAAATGGAAAATAATAATAATAAATAAATAAATAAAATTAATTTAGCACAATTTCTGATTCCTCTAATGAAGAAAAAAAAAAACTTATCAAACTTGAAATTTCATCTAGCCTTATGAAGTGCCAGTACAAAATTGAAATGTTCAGTGACCATGACTTTATACAATGCTGCACAATGGGTTTTGCTGAGATGAGCATCAAACCTGTCCGATGCTTGTCCAGGTCCCTAGTCCATAAAGCATACTAAGCAGTTCGAGTACATGGAGAGTAAGGAATGAATAAATAGACACAGGAAAACATATGAACTAATTAAGAAATTGAAATGTGATAGTAAAAAAGAATGAACGTGCATGTGGAGAATCATTCTCAGATTAAAGAAACAGCATACTGACACATCAAACAAGGCTTAATTTAATGTGAAAATTTACTTTTTTATGAACTGATTAAGAAATTGAAACATCGTGCATTTTCTCAACAGCAAAGAAATATAAAAGCTTGTTTGGCACAGATTTTTCAAGTGAAATTTTATTTTTTAGGAGAATTTGTGGTTGAAACGTTGAGGAAAAGTTGTTGCTCCCATAGAATGTGTGGTTGAAAATGATTTTATAAAAATCAATGCCAAACAAGCCTTAGTTTAAATCTATGAGGGACGTGGTCAGGAAAAAAGAAATGTGATTTAAAGTTTCTGGATACCAACACTAGAAAATTGCTTGCTAAATGCAAGCAAAATTAGTAGATTACACATTCTAGGCCAATGGATAAGCAAGGTGGAAATGCGAGGTCAGTCATATAAAAACTTGGACCTTTGTAATGCACAGGGTAGGGATTTGAAATGCTGGGGATTCTCCTTGTCTAGTTCTTTCTTTATGCCGAGAAGAAAGAGAGAGAAGCTTGGAAGAAGCGAGTACACTATTGCATTGCACTCTTCCTGTGTGGTTTCTGATTTCATTATTCTCAAAAGAATCTGTGGGTACGTAAAGCTAAAGGAAAAGTCTTTCATGAACATGTTCTCTGAGTATTGTATCTCCTTCTAATATTAAGACATAGCTAGTTTTTACAAACACCTCATTAATTTCTTGTGTTTCTAAAAAACATGGATTATAATTCAGGATATGATCTTTCTCGAGGGAAAAAAAAATCAAGTTAACAATGCCGGATCAAGGAACACTTTTTGAGGTGGCCCTATACCTGTAACCATGTTCATTAGCTATTGCACTTCACTCTTGACAGTTTCATTTTTTCCATCAAGAAAAGGGCATGTATCAGCAAAAAAACAACCAAAATACAGAATGCATATACTTGAAATATGCAAGAAAATAACTTTAATTGCTAAAAGTAAATGATATTTATCCAAACTACTAAAGGTACAACCTTTTGCAATATATCAATTCAGGAACACATCATTTTCTCCTGTTATCAATCTCACAAGCATTTTCATCATAAATAGTAATAAATCACCACCCTTACCAACAACAAAATAATAAAAACAAACAACCCTCAAACAATTGACAATGAAAAATATGTAGCATCATGCTTTAACCATATGAAAAAATCAATTGGTGTAGTGGCATTCACAACCATCATTTGAGTGAGTGATCCAATGATTCCAATCAATGGGCTCAAGAGCAGCATTCTTGCTTCGAACTAAATATGAACAATCTTAACATACTCGCAAGAATTTAAATTAATTTCATTAAATTAGATTACCTTGGTGAAGAGTCCAACTCCACATTCAATGAAAACTTTAGCCAAGAAGAGATCGTCAGCCAGTAATCTTTCTTTGAACCCACCAAACTTCATTAGCCAAGAAAGCAAACCAGACTTCTCCAGTTCAAAATATCTCAACAAAATCGATCCCGGTATTCTTCCATCCTCAATGGCTGCCTTCAAATCCTTCGGCAAACTCTCAAGACTCCTACTGGTCTCAGCCAATGCCATAAATGCCTCTTCTTTGTTGTTCTTCTTGTTATTGTCATCACTCCCGTCATTGTTATCTCCGCCTCCGCCTCCGCCTCCGCCAGTGCCGTTGTCGTTTCCTCCA